AGCCAGGGCTACACAGAGAAACCCTGTCTCGAAAAACCAAAAAAAAAAAAAAAAAAAAAAAAACAAACAAAAGAATCTGGGGCTGGAGAAACAGGACAGCAGTAAGAACACTTGCTGCTCTTCCAGAGGACCCAGGTTCCGCTGGCAGCAGCCACACGGAAGCTCACACTGATCCACAACTTCAGTTCCAGGGATTCTGATGCCTTCTTCTGACCACGGACACCAGGCACCCGTGTGGTGCACACACAGGCAAAACAGGCATGTACATAAGAATAGTTAAGGATTCCACAAAACCAACAACAACTGGTGAAGCTTTCAGGATGATGTGCTCGGGCGGTCCTGGTTTTGAAGCAGCTGAGAGTACGTAAGAAAAATGCCCAGAAGAGTGTTTCTTCTAAATATGGTATACATCACAGAATACAGCCCAAAGAAATTACTCAAGACAAGACATTTCTGCCAAGATGCTCAGAGCTGGAAAAGAATCTAATTATTGGGAAGTGATGACACGGTATAATGAAACACATCCCCATAAAAGGGGAAGAACATGAACTGGAAGATACATTCTTGGGACTATGTAACAGAGACTAAACAGAGATAAAGTAAAGTAAGTTAAAGCTACAAAACAGAGAGGTAAGTAGTGACTAAAGTCCATGTCTAAAACCCATATATACTGGACAGTGGTGGTCCATGCTTGTAATCCCAGCACTCAGGAGGCAGAGGCAGGAGGATCTCTGTGAGTTCCGAGGCCAGCCTGGTCTACAGAGTGAGTTCCTGGACAGCCAGGGCTACACAGCGAAGCCCTGTCTCAAAACCCCCCAAAACAAACAAACAATCAAACAAAACACATAGAAACTCAGTGGGATGGGAAAACAGAGAGCTTATGTGTGCAGATATCACTGGCTGGAAGCAGGAAGCAGTGAGTTGGCATGAGTCAGATTAAAAGAGATGCCTGACCTCTGGCTGATAGGTCAACAGCAGCCATTCAGGGAAAAAAAAACTGAAAAATATCAGGATTCCTCAAGAGGCAACTTTACACCCAGAGCCTTTCTTATCTCACAAAAGATTGAAGGATCGCATGAAACCATTAATTAGAAAAGAAACTTTAATTTATATGGATGCATCTTTTATAAGACATGTTCAGCTACAGTGAACAGTTGGGTACAACAGTCCTACACTTTCTTTCTTTCTTTCTTTTTTTTTTTTTTTGGTTTTTCAAGACAGGGTTTCTCTGTGTAGCCTTGGCTGTCCTGGAACTCACTCTGTAGACCAGGCTGGCCTCAAACTCAGAAATCCGCCTGCCTCTGCCTCCCAAGTGCTGGGATTAAAGGCGTGCGCCTCCACCGCCCGGCAGTCCTACACTTTCAAACTACTACATGAATTAGAGGTGATGTACTAAACCAATTAAAAGTTAGGTTAATATGCATATGGAAGAGGTGTGGTAATATACACCAATCATCCCAGCGCTTGGGAGGAGGCAGGAGGATAAGGAGCTTAAGGCTAGCCTGGGCTACATGCGACCCTGACACAAACCAAACCAAATCAAATCAAACCAAACCAAACCAAACCAAACCAAACCAAACCAAACCAAACCAAACCAAACCAAACCATACCCTGGATTTGGCTCCTAGCACCCACACAGTGGTTCACAACCATCCATAACTCCAGTTCCAGGGACTCTGGTGCCCTCTTCTGGTCCCTGTGGGCATGCACATGGTACACAGACATGCACAGAGGCAAAATCATCTACACACAAAATAAGTGAATCTAATAGAATAAGCCCAATCCCACCCTCAAGGAGGCACATAGAAACTGGTTCTCTGATGCAGGCTGTAGAGTAGTTATGGATAAGCTCAGGTTTTATCAAGGTGCCTCTCTTCTCTCAAAGGGTTCCCTCCACTGTAACAACACACGTATGCCCTCATGTGTCACTGTCATGCCAAACTAAAGAAAACACTGTCATCATTTCTACAATCCGGCTTATTTTCAGAGTAAGTCTCACTATATAGGCCAGGCTCTAGACAGGCCTCAAATTTATTTTGTAGCCCAGGCTAGCCTAAAATTCCCGAGTGCTGGGCTCACATTTCATATGTCAGTAGCTGTCACTGACTGACAAGTTCTGAGCTGTACTTACATGGTCTTACTCCTGGAGGGGGGACCAGTGCTCCTTACTTCTCAGACTTTCCCAAATACTTAAACATGTAGCTTCTGATCAAAGCCTTGTCTGTGTGCTAAAAATGAAACTGTGCCAGCAATAACCACAATCTCACAGCAAACACGTTGGTTATTCTCCAAAATAGACAAAAAAAAAATTTAACAGTTTAATTGAGATATTGGACTAAACAGTCAGGTACAGTAGAGCTTATCTTGAACCCTAGCACTATGGAGGCAGAGGCAGGAGGATCTATGTGAGTTTGAGGCCAGCTTACTATACAAAGTGAGTTCCAGAGCCAGCTAGGGCTACACAATGAGGCCTTCTTTTAAATACACAATCAAAGACACAAGTACACACATACATCAAACCAAAGTATGTGTGTTTGAGTGTGTATGTGGGAGTGGGAGTGTGTGAATGTGTGTATGTGTACTGTGTGTATGTATGTGTGCTGTGTGTATGTGTGAGAGTGTGAGTGTGTATGTGTGTACTGTGTGTATGTATGTGTGCTCTGTGTGTGTGTGTGTGTGTGTGTGTGTGTGTGTGTCAGGGAGAGAGGGAGAGAGAGAGTGTGAGTGTGTGTGTGTGTGTGTACTGTGTGTATGTATGTGTGCTCTGTGTGTGTGTGAGAAAGAGTGTGTGTGTATGTGTACTGTGTGTATGTATGTGTGCTGTGTGTGTGTGTGTGTGTGTGTGTGTGTAGTGGGAGTGAGTACTTCTGGAGATTGAGCTTAGAGGTCTTGCAAATGCTAGCCAAAACCACCACTGGGCTACAGCTTCAGTCCTGGACAAAACCTTTAAAAGTGACTCATGATATTTCCTACATAGATAATTATGCTTGCTCTGAAACGGCTATAAAACCGAGAGACAAAGGACTGTTTAATCTAGGAAGTTAAGAAAGGCACACACGGGAATATCCAGACCCCCAAACGCCCAGGTGACCCTCAGAACATACATTTCCAATGAGTTTAGCCATGAGGTTGCCTGATGTCAATGCTGATCCTGAAGGATCTTTCTCTTTCCCTCCCTCCTCCTCCTCCCCCTTCCTTCCTTCCTTCCTTCCTTCCTTCCTTCCTTCCTTCCTTCCTTCCTTCCTTCCTTCTGCAGGGTCAGGGGAACCCACACAGGGTGTCACACTGTAACTTGGCTTGCCTCAGCCTCCCGAGTGCTAAGATTATGGGCAGGGGCCGTAGGTCAGTGTGTTTAGCTAAGGGTTGTTCTTTATAGGATGGGTAGCCCCCACCTCCTACTTTGACTATTTCTTTAAACAGGCTTGTCTTGACCCATCTCTCACTAGACATTTACGAGAAGACAGTCTCTCTCTCTCAGAGTCTTACACATAACCAGCATTTTTGTTTTCGGCTGTCCCAGTCATTTCCTACCTTGGGCCAGTTCTGACACGCACAGGCCTTTACACTGAACCCACATTGTGTGTGCTGCATGACATCAGCCGTCCCACCCTGCGGGGTCTGTGAGGAGACTTACAAAGCCCCTTTGAGTCCCCACAAAGCCCCTTCCTCTCCATTTAGGATTTCTTACATTTTTTCCCCTTCCATTTAAAATTCTTCTTCCCATTTAAATAAAAAAAAAAATTTTTTTTTATTAAGACCACAAAGGGGAAAGAGGGAGTTGGCAGGCCCAGGGAAATAAAAAAGTTGAGAGAGGAGTTTAAGAAAAGCCATAAAACTGCTTTGTGGTTGTATCTCTTGCCGATTGGTTCCAGCATTAAAACAGAGCTACAGCGCAAACTCAGAAGAAGAAAACGAAAAGCCTGAAAATTCTTCCTACAGTTCAAAGATGCGTCCAATCCAGACCTTCCCTGGGCAGGAAGGCGGCAGATGCAGGGAGTTACTGGAAGGAACTGACAGCCCCAGCCCTGACATAACCCAGGATTCCAGGATGAGTTATCTATTTTCTTTATCTCAGAAGGAATGCCTCATGCTATTACTGTACCAATACAGAGATTTGGGCCAAATGTTTAGCTCAAGAAAAGACAGCTTTCCCATGGAGCTGGAATCTCGAGTAAATGATGGTTTTGCTATCCATCAGATCTGTTTGTTTCATTCCGAGGGCCTTCGTAACAAACCATTCCGTACACAACGCCAGATACGTAGGAAAGTCTGAGCAAACTGGAAAACCTGACCAGTTCTGCAGCCCCTGGAGTGCGCTGTAAGGCATGAGCATATGCAACTCATTTTCTAGTTAAGTAATTCCCTCTGGGGACTTGCTGTGCAATGCACACGAAGGATCCAATTTCATTACCAGATGCAGGAAAATACAACCCTGTGTATTTGCAAGTCAAAACTCCTGAAAGCTACACTAGCCTGGCTCTCAGCGCTGGTTTTTCCTGGGAGAGGAGTTTAGCTGATAAAAAACATTTGTTGGGAGGCACAGATGAGCAAGCTGAGAAGAGAGGGGGCTTAGCTAGCGTGGAGACAACCAAGCCTCAGTCCCAATGCTCAACCCTGGCCTTAACCCTCAGTCTGCAGCTGCGTTCTAAGCAGATAGCAATTCAAACAGCAGTTTCATCCCCAAGGCTGCAGATGACAAAAGACACAGGAAGACAAATTAAAAGGGTAAGTGTCTGAGAGCACACAGTCCTGTCTGTATCCAAACTCTTCCCTGGTAGGTACCAACCTGAATCCCAGAATGAGCTAGATTTAACATGAAACGGGACGGGGACTCAAATCCCAGCCTCTGTAAATAGTCCATTTGAGACTTTTATGAATGCAACTCGAATCAAAAGACAGACTGACCACACACTGACTGCTACAGCTGGCCAGATGTAGAAAACCAGCCTTGGTTAGTACACGTTTCCCCAAAGTGAGCTCCACACCCGCCCGGCTCTTACCTTGTTTTGGCTGTGTTCACCTTTCTCAAACATCATCTTTAGTCTGTTCAGTGGAACGTTGTATTTCTCTATTTTGCCTGAAGTTTCTGTGTTTTCGTTCATTTCGGGCTTCTCTGCTTCATGCTTGGAATCTCCCAGACAGTTTTCCATTTTTTGGCTCTCTGTGGCCTGGGCTTTAAAATCGTGGCTGTCCTCCGAGCGGGGATACCGACACTGAATAACAGCTTCCGGACGAGATCCAAATCTAGGTTTGGGCTGGGTCTGTTCTTCCCGGTCAGCTCTAGCTCCAGGAGCAGCCTTGTCCGTCACTTCAGCAGGAGGGTGGTCTGCTGTGTGCTCACCCTCAGGGCTGCTGTTCAGCAGCGAGTCTGTGTGAGATTCTGCCCCAGCCACTGGGTTCTCCCACTTCTTCTTTAAGACAGACAGGGTCCCTCTTCTAAAGTGCTGGGGGAGACTTTCAGTGTTCTAGAGGAACAAGAAGTAAGTACCAGTTACAACTTGCCTGCTGCAACAGCCAAACATGCGTCTTTGTAAAATGAAAGTTAAAACTCCAAGCTGTGCCTGGTCCACCCCCGGTTCACACAGCTGTGAACAGTTACTGCCCTGCCACAAGGAGCAAGCATCCACCCAGGGCCCAGAGAGAGGAAGAGGGAAAAAGTCAGGAGCTGAAGCAGGAAGTGATAAAACAGGATAGCCTTATAAGGACAAAGTGAGCACAGACAGCCTAGATCTCGTGTAGTTACATTGGAAAGGAGAGACTTTTTTTCTCCCAACACACCCAGAAACCAAGAAGAAAAGGCAGATGGCTAGGTACCTTCAACATTGTAACTATATTTGAATAGAAGTTCACCAAGGTATGCTACAAAAGTCCAGGACTATGTAATTGCTAGGAATTCTTTCCTAACAAAAACAAGACAAAGATACAATAACTATGCAATTCCGATTATAATTATAGAGATCAATATCAGAGACTGGACCTATCTATAAAATCTAGAGATTTACAGTTTTTGCAAGGGTGGTATTAACATACGGCTGATAGAATTTAAATGCACAGAAACAGTTTTTTTTTCGAGGCTCGTGGGTCAAACAGGGACCTTGTTTCAAGACTGGCAGATGAGCTCTATTCCCAGCCCTCAGATTTCATTTCTGTATAACAATCTAATCGTTCCTCCATCCGTCCTCTCTCTATTATTTATCTATATCTACTTTGTAGACATCTTGGAAAATGCACTATTTTACAGATCCTTTGCTTGAGAAAATACACAGGCCTCATAAGAGAGCCGCCATCCACTTTGATACTCAGAGGACACACATTTACACGCACATCTAAGAGAACAGTTCACTTTCGCTTGGGTCAAAAATGATACAATGTAGCTGGGCGGTAGTGGCGCAGGCCTTTAATCCCAGCACTTGGGAGGCGGAGGCAGGTGGATTTCTGAGTTCGAGGCCAGCCTGGTCTACAGAGTGAGTTCTAGGACAGCCAGGGCTACATAGAGAAACCCTGTCTCAAACAAAACAAAACATAACAAACAAAACAGATACAATGTATTGAAGGTCGAACAGCGAATCATCAGCGATGCTGTAGAACAACAGCAGGAACGTGCTTGTTGAAGTAAAATTTAGCATCCTGTGCTTTGAAAGACCTAATTGAACCGAAAGCCACACACCGCTAGTACCTTCTTACTCTCCATCTCTGCTGCCTGTGACTCCTCAGGGTTCCAAGTGGGAAAGAAAGGACGAACAGCCCAGGACTGGAGAGGTCAGAGAATTAGGGGATTAGCAGCTATATTGGGAATTAGGTCTCTGGCTCCTTCTTTTCTGAACACACTAAGATCCACTTCACCGTGCAGCAGCGAGGCATGGGCAGACGGAGGTACAGGAGACCTGATGGATCCTCAGATTTGAACCGTGGCTAGAGGCTGTACATACAGCTCAGAGACAGAAGAAACACAAAAGGCTCCTGACAGGTATGATTGCAGAAATCCCAGTTTCCCAGTTACTCATTTGGGAGGCTATGGTAGGGGAACTGCTTCAGCCTAGGAGTTTAAGACTCGCCTGCACAACACAGACCCCATGTCAAAAAATAAAAAGCATCCCCCAAAGCTAGTGCTGCCAGCAGCATGCCAGACCTCTTACCTCCTGCCACAGACTAGTTGAATCACCCGGTCTCTGCTTTCACTTGCCCTGCCTACGTGGCCTGTACAGGAACCCTGACAGGCAGAGCCACATCTGCTTTGGTGACTGGACCTTATCTTTTTCAGACACACAGATCACTGTATTTTTACTGACATTGAAAGATGCTTTTCAATTAAAAAAAAAAAGAAATTATAAGTCGGGAAGATCCAATTTTGAGTGAATATAATTATGAGCATAGAAAAGCAGTCTAGAGGTCATCCAGATGTTTACAGCTCATTTACTTGTGTGCATGCATGTTTGCTTGTGTGCGCACATATGTATGTGCTCCTGTGTTCCTGTGTGGCGGGCAGAAGACAGCCTCGCGTGCCATTCCTCAAGGTACTATCTGACTTTTTTCTCTAAAGACAATTACTCCCTCCCCTGGAACTCACTAAATAAGATACCCGCTAGACAATGAACCTCAGGAATCATTTGTCTCCAACCTCTCCAGAGTTGAGATTACAAGAAAGATTACACCTAATTGTTTTTTAAACAAGGGTTCTGGGGATTGAACTCCAGTCCCCACATCTACAGGGCCAGCACTTTGCTGAGCTGCCTCCCTAGAGAACAACTCACGGCTTCGTAGTCTCCTTTTCTAATAAATATATGTTTATAGTATGACAACCGGGGAACAAAACTCAACTCTTTATCACCTTCATGGCACAACAAACAGCTTCACAGAGAATTAAATAAAAGGATGCTCCTGTTAGCAGTGTGAGAACTCAGCTCTGCTGATGATGAGCAGAAAGGAGTTTGGGTGGCAAAGTACTAGCGGTATCCCTGTAGAGAGCATCTTCAGAGACAGTGAGCATGCTCTTTTATTGAAAAGAGCTCTCTCCTCTTCCTCCTCTTCTTCCTCCTCTTCCTCTTCTTCCTCTTTCTCCTCCTCATCCTGCTCTTCTTCTTCTTTTACTGAGATGGTGTCTTTGTATAGCCCTAGCTGACCTGGAACTTGCTTATATAGACCAGGCTGGCCTTGAACTCAGAAACCCAATCGCCAGCTAGGTGCCCGCCAGCTAGGCTGGTATAACTTGTGAGCGCCAGGTGGGTGGAGTCTCAGCAAGAGTAGCACTTAATGTTGCTCTGGTCTTCACATGCATGTGCACATGTGTGCACATATACAAATATACATCTGCACACATACTTAGCCCGCTCCTCCCCAATCAGAACACATAAAAGAAAACGGGCTCTTAAAGGTGTAACTTCAAGAGCACTGAGACAGATGTGGGGAAGCCCAAGGCAGTGTGGGCTGACGTCAATAAAGACACCCATAAACTATTCCTAGGAGTGAGACCCAGCCCACGGCAATACTCCATCCATGTCTTTAGGACTAGAGGCAAGCCGAGATAGGGAAGAGAAGAGTTACACAACAGAAATCAGCAATAAAGCCAAAAAATGAGCATTAGGCTGAGAGGCCTGGGAAGACCATCGGATAATTGTTTGTACAGATAACCTACATCTTCTTTCTCTGTATTCTCTACAAGTAACATCTGCATAAGCTGCCCCCATCCAGCCATGTGACTTTGGACAAGTTGTCCAATTTCTATAAACTATTATAGAATATTTCTATAAGCTATAAATTCTATAGCTACCACGCCCTTTATGCACGAGCCCTCTCTCATGTGTATAATATAGTATTTGTCATCAGCAGGCTTCTGACAAGGAGTGACAACACTATTATGAGCACTGCCAGGCTCTGTGGCACAGGCCTGTAACTCCAGCTACTCATGGGGGTGGCACAGACGGTTACAAGTTAAAGGCTTCCTTGGGCTACAGAGTGACTTCAAGACTAGCAGAGGTAACCTAGGAAGACCCTGTCTCAAACTAAAAAGGGATAAAAGGCCTGGGGAGGTTGCTGAGGGGAACAGTGCTTTCCCAGCATGTGTGAGCCCCAGGGTTAGCTCCGGGAACACACATGTAAATGGGCAGTAATAAATAAATAAATAGTCATCCCAGCTCCCATACTTAGGATCAACCACAGTGACAGCCCATCCCCTGAGTCCTGAGCCCAGGCTACAGTACTTTCTTTCTACTCACTAGTCACCACCATTCTTACCAAGGTTTTAGCTTGTCCTAAGGCACTGGAAAGTCACCAAGGCTCTAAGTTTTCAAGAGTCACAATGGTTGCTGCACTTCCACACCCTCCTTTCTGCGAGCAGTGCCAGACCCCAGACTCATGCTACTCAGCAACCCTGAGACTTGGTGGGTGTTCCCTCTGGATACTAACGGGCCACTTGAATCCTTATCACATAGAGGTAAGACATAGGGGTCCCTCCTGCGTGGCCATCTGACCATGAAGAGCCAGAACTCAGTCACTTCCAAATATATAACCATGGATAAATCTCTTTTCCTTTCCTATCTGTACAGTGAAGAGGCTGGGCTGATGAGCTATTGGGCAGCCATCTTGTCAGGGAGCCCATCAACAGAGGGTTGATGTTACAGCACATACCTGTAATACCGGCACTTGGCTGAGGCTAAGGTGGAAACAAGAGGATCAGGAGAGTTTAAGACCATCTTCGGCGACTTAGGGAGTGGAAGGCCAGCCTTGGCTACATAAAACATTGTTTTAAAAACAAATGAGCCGGAAGAAACTGGACATGGTGGCTAAGGCCTGTAATCCCAAAATCTGAGAGGCTACGGAGTGCTAAGTCTTAGTCAAAGCCAGCCAGGAACCTAGATAGAGATCGTACCTCAAAAATAGAAATAAATAATGAGCTAAATGAATGTCACAAGAAGAGGAATGGGGCGCAGTGGATACACACCTGTGGGTCCACAATTGGAAGGCTGGAGCAAGCGTTTGGGTCATATAGCAAGACACTGTATATAAACAATACAAAGCAAAGCCAGCCGAGGCTGCATAGTAAATTCTGTGTTGAATTAAAAAGACAAGAAGGAAAGAAGGAAGGAAAGGAGGAAGGAAGGAAGGAAGGGAGGGAGGGAGAGAGGGAGGGAGGGAGGGAGAGAGGGAGGGAGGAAGGGCATGACTGTTCCTAAGGGGTTTATATAAGGGAGGGCACAGCAGACGCATCTGGAAGAGTCCTGACTGAACACAACGGGCAAACTGAGCGGAGCCATGTGAGGAAAGGGGGAAGGAGAGAGAAGAGAGTCAGAGGCCAGGAGGTGAGACCAGCATAGCGCAGCCAAAATGGCTGACTTATATAGGAATCTGGGGAGAACACATGTCAAAAAAAAAAAGCAGGAAGGAAGATGTTTGGATACAGCAGGGAGGCTGGACACACGGACTGCCTGGAGAGGAGAAATCACTAGGATAATAAGTTCCAGAAAAGCAGAAGAATCTGAGGACATGGTTGGGTGCACGTAGCTGGGTACATGGCTGGGTATCCACATGGGTGGGTGCATAGCTGGGTACACATAGCTGGGTGCATGGCTGGGCGCACATAGCTGGGTACATATAGCTGGGAGCACATAGCTGGGTGCACATAGCTGGGTGCACATAGGTGAGTGCACATAGGTGAGTGCACATAGCTGGGTGCATGGCTGGGTGCACATAGCTGGGTGCACATAGGTGAGTGCACATAGGTGAGTGCACATAGCTGGGTGCATGGCTGGGTGCACATAGCTGGGTGCACATAGCTGGGTGCACATAGCTGGGTGCATGGCTGGGTGCACATAGCTGGGTGCACACAGCTGAGTGCACATAGCTGGGTGCACATAGCTGGGTGCATAGCTCGGTGCATGGCTGGGTGCACATAGCTGAGTGTACATAGCTGGGTGCACATAGCTTGATGCACATAGCTGAGTGCATGACTGGGTGAATATAACCGGGTGCATATTGCTGAGTGAACATAACAGGGTACACATATCTCAAGAAGGTAAGGTATAGTTTTAAGACAGGAAGACTAAATCTCTTTCTTCTCTTTACTCTTGTTGTCCTATTCTGTTTCCTTCCCTCTTTGCTTCCTCTGCCAGCCCCTCCTCAGCCCTCCAACCTTCAAACATGATGGTTCTAGTCTGAGAATATAGTTCAGAGGAGGGTTCTGCTCAGCATGTGCAAGGCTCTGGGTTCAACTCCTAGGTCCATAATGCAAAACAAAATAGCCCGGAGTCAAACATCACAGTGCCCCGAGCTCAGTCATTGGACCTCGTGTCCCCCCTCCCTCTCTTCCCAGATCATCCCTGTACCTCATACATACAGGCGCCATCCAGAGGGATTTTTAGGGGGTGGGGTGGTCAAGACAGAGATTCTCTGAGTAGACCAGGCTGGCCTTGAACTCATAGTGATCCACCTGCCTCTGCCTCGAGAGTGCTGGGACTAAAGGCATACACTCCACAACCAGCTCTATGCCACTGATACGTGAATACACACCATGTTATGTTCAGCCTAGATCTCTTTTTTTTTTTTTTTGTTTTTTTTTTGGTTTTTTCGAGACAGGGTTTCTCTGTGGAGCCCTGGCTGTCCTGGAACTCACTCTGTAGACCAGGCTAGCCTCGAACTCTCGAACTCAGAGATCCACCTGCCTCTGCCTCCCAAGTGCTGGGATTAAAGGCGTGCGCCACCACCGCCCGGCCAGCCTAGATCTCTTTCAATAGCCAAATTCCTATTTACCATTTTCACTTCCACGGTTTTTCCCTTATTCTTCCCTTTTGGATAGCACCTGGCTGTGTAGACCTAGCTGTTCTGGTACTTGCTAAGAAAACCAGACTGATCTCAAACCCATGGCCAATCCTCATAGATCAGTCTCCCAAGAACTAGGATTACAGGCCTGCATCACCATTCCTGCCTGTACTTAGGTATCTTTCTTACCCACCTGTTTTATTACGTGTGTGAATGTTTTTTTTTCTGTGTGTATATCTATGTATCACGTGTATGTAGGACTCACAGAGGGCAGAGGGCATTGGGTTCCCTGGAACTGGAGTTAGACATCTGTAAGCTACCATGTGGGTACTGGGAATTGAACTCAGGACCTCTGGAAGAGCAGCCAGTGCTCTTAACCACTGAGCCATCTCTCCCAGCTCTTGATTCACTTGTTTATCTTAAGGAAGTATCTCAGAGCTGGTGGTGATTGTGTGGCGGTGAATGCCCATAGTTACAGTAGGAGTTCAGGGCTAATCCTGACTATGAGTTCAAAGCCAATCTAGGCCACATGAAATCCTATATCAAGACACTAGAAAGCTAAAGAAAGGAAGGAAGACAGACAAACAGACAGACCAGTCATATACGAAACAGATCCAGAGTTGATTTCATCTCAGTTAACAGCATTTTAATTGAATGGTCTCTGGGCTGTTCTCACTACAATACTACCACTGCAGTACAATCCACAGTCATTTCTAAATCACTGCAGTCCCTTCTTTTAAGACAGCCTCAGTCAATAGCTCAGGCTGCCCTGAACTCAGTATGTAGCTAAAAATAACCCTGAACTTCGGGTCCTCCTGCCTCTCCCCAGTGTTGGGGCTACATCTCCATGCTGTGCCGGCTGCCTCTGCATCCCTGTCGCTGGCATCCCTGAGTTGCTCTGCATGTTTCTGCCTTTGCTCCTCAGCCGTTTAAGCTGCATGACATCAGCCCTTCACACGTTTCCCCGAAGCCCTTTTTAATCTTCAGAGCTAAAGCTCCAACCTTCCCAAGGACTCTGCAGAACTTTCTCTTTCTAGTCCTCGAATGTCTCAACATGACTTTTCCTTGGGACATTTACATACACGGTTCTTTCTGTCTGAATCTTTTCTCTCTTTGGCTCATGACCTCAGGTCTGGGTTACTTAAGTCCCAGAAGAGGACCACACCTCAACTACCCTTTTGCATCTTCTTCCAGCTGGTGGCGGTTTTGTTTGTTTATTTGTTTGTTTTGGGTTTTTTGAGACAGGGTTTCTCTGTATAGCCCTGGCTGTCCTGGAACTCACTCTGTAGACCAGGCTGGCCTCAAACTCAGAAATCCGAGTGGCTCTGCCTCCCAAGTACTGGGATTAAAGGCGTGGGCCACCACTGCCCGGCTTCTTCCAGCTGTTTTAAGCCAATAATTGCTAAGTGACTTTATGTGTGTGTGTGTGTGTGTCTGTCTGTCTGTCTGTCTGTCTGTCTGTCTGTCTGTCATTATTTCCTCCACTAGAATGAAAATGCCTGAGGAGATGTAGTCTATATTTTTAATGTCTAACAGAGTGTTTAGCACATAGTAGGTGCCTTACAGAAGTGAGTTAGCTAAACACGTAAAATGAGAAATGGAGGAAATGGGAAACCAGGCAGGAGTGAGAAGGCGAGAGCAGCTGGCCGTGGAGCAGCTAACGGTGCTCTTTGCTTCTGTTCTGTTTTTGTATTTTTGGTTTCTTGACAGGGTTTTATACTGTGGGCAAGGCTGGTCTAGAACTCAGCATGTAGCTCTCAGGTAGGCCTCACACTTGCAGCAATCCTCCTGCCTCAGCTTTCTGAGTGCTAGGATTATTGTATTGGCATGAATCACCACCAAATCCTTTTTTTTTTTTTCTGTTACTCCACCAGGGAGCTCTATTTTGAAATCACAGGAAGATTAAGCTGGAGACCCAGTTAGTACTGCTCCCCAGAGAGAGAGGACCAACAGGCGAGTGTTAGCCACCCGTCTAAGCTACGTTCCTATGATACTAAATCCTTCAGAGCTAAGGCCAAGGACTTCTCTACCTGTGAGTTCAAACTCAGCCTGGCTGCAGAGTTAGACTCGATCCTAGAAAAAGGAACAGGATCTGGCCATCTGGAAGTTACAGCACGGATTGTAGAGAATAGAGCTTGAGGGACCCAGCAGCTGGGAAACATGCTAACTAGACTGGGCCAGCTTCAAGCAAAGAACTTATTGGATGGGTACAACTGCACAATCTCCTTTCAAATGCAGATTCTTCCATTTGGAGGCAGGGACGGTGGCACCTGCTCTCATTTGGTGAGCACTTCACTAACCTTAGTAAAGCATTTGGCCCTCTATCCTTTTCTTAGTACAGGAAAGGGGGGTGGGGGGAGGCGCCCAAAAGTAAAACACTGAAACTAGGATTCCCTGTATCTAAGCCAACTTCTCCCAGCAAATGGCTTGCACATCAGACCAACTGGCACAAATGTCCAGCTCAGCTGTCACGGAGCCCAAGCCCCACAGAGGGGCAGGTGGCCGGGCCACACAGACCGATTAAGTTCCACGTGCCCTGGGGCCTCTGAGTACTTACGTTTTTCTTCTTCTCCATGTTTGCTTCTTCAGCTGCTTTCTGGTACCTTCAGAGAGGGGAGAGAAAAGATATCTTCAGGTTAAACTCTGCTCTTAACCCTTTCGTTTTTAGAAACCTATTTTGCAGACCTGTTTCTGCCAGTTTTCGCCTTTAACCAAGTCTCCCAGGAGTGGCATAGAATCATAGTGCCCAGACTTCATGGGTCCCGGACAGTCACAGGCTCTGATATAACATGATGATTCACAAGGATGAGTGACATCCCACTACAGAGGGTACAGGCTGCAGACGGAGCTCAGTTGCTAGAGCGCTTACCCAACACCACACAGCTCTGGGCTCCATCCCCAGCATTATACAAACTAATTATGAACTGGATGTCCTGGCTGGAAGGTCAGGTGTTCAAGGCCATCCTCAGCTACACTGAGTTTGTGGCCAACCTGTACTACATGAGACCAAAAACCAAACAACGCAACCAAAGCCTTTGGAATGAGTCAACTAAAAGCAGCATTCCATGACTTCTATTGCACAGACCTCTCTTCCCATAATCAGACAGTGACATCTCTGAGATCTCAGTTGCTGTTGGCATGTCTATGAGGTATTCTCACTACCTGCAATGCCTGAACTTAGACCAAGCTAAGGTACTGATATGAGAGATACGGTCACTCCAGCTCATGTATATGAACTTTTTAGTTCTTCCTTTGAAGGAGAGATGTACGCATGCGTGCAGAGGTACATATACCCACCAGAGCATGTACAGAGGACACAACGGGGCACGGGATGTCTTCATCTATTGCTTTGAGCCTTTTCCCTGGGTACCCTAAACCAGTGATCATCCTGTCTCTGTTCTTCCCAGCTCTGGAGTCACAGGTATATGGGGTCATGCCTAGCTTGCTTGTTTTTGTTTGTTTGCTTGTTTGTTTGAGATAGGGACTCTCTATGTAGCCTCAGGTGGCCTAGACTCTCCATGTAGACCAGACTGGCCTTGAACTCACAGACACTCATTAGCCTCTGTTTCCTGAGTGTTCAGATTGAAGGTGTGCGCCACCATGCCCACCATGTTCAGTTTTTTTGTGGGTTCTGGGGGATCCCAAGAGAAGTCCTCATGCATCAAGAGCACTGAGTCCCTTCCCCAACTCCGCCTCTTTTCTTTTCTAAAACACAAGGTCACACCTGTGGTCTAATCTGGACTTCAATTTGTGATCCTGTTTCAACCCCACAAGTACTGGGATCAGACGTGTGCACCACGCACCTGTGAGCTACATCTCCAGCAGAACGTATTTTACTTAACAAGTAGAAAGAGGTATTTTTTTTAAAAGCAAGTATGGTACACTGGGGAGGGGATGGGGAATGGGTTCCATCAAACACTGCTGGTAGAAAGGTAAAGCCTGAAAAAAAACAAACAAAGCAAAACAAAAAAAAGGTAAAGCCTCTTTAGAAGGCATTTGTCACCTTCTTGCCAAAACTAAACTCAAATGTTAACTTTTATTCTCAGACTTTATCCTTCAGACACCCTTACATAAGAAAAACGATTTCTTAAGTTAGTTCCTTTATCATGGCATTAACAGTAATAGCTGCAGGGTGAAGACAGGTTGGCTGCCCCGTGGCAGAGAGCCAGTAACGAGTGGCATGTATTATACAGTGGACGCCTTGGAAGTGATAACTCGGACAAAGGGAAAGTGATGATTTGAATGTCCACTGAACTGTAAGCTTAAGAATGGTATATTTGGGGGGCTGGTGAGATGGCTCAGCAGCTAAGAGCACTGACTGCTCTTCCAGAAGTCCTGAGTTCAAATCCCAGCAACCACATGGTGGCTCACAACCATCCATAATGAGATCTGATGTCCTCTTATGGGTGTCTGAAGACAGCTACAGTGTACTTACATATAATAAATAAATAAAAAACCTTTGGGCTGGAGTGAGAGGGGCCGGAGCAAGTGGGGAGAGGGAGAATGTTATCTATTTTATCGCAAGTGAACATAGTGGTATGGGCATGAAAATGGTTGTACGGAGCAATGGAATAGAATAATCCAGAAAAAAAAGCCCTTAGATACACGGTCAAATGATTTCTGACAAATATGCCACAGTCACCCAGAGGGGAGGTACAGTTATTTTCACAACATGGTTGTGAAGACCAGATATCCATACACAGGAAAATAACAAGAAATACAACATCTCACAGAATTCCATGTACAAAATGGATCAAAAACTTAGGGAAAAAAAACACACACATAGAGAAAAGCTTTATGATTGGGTTATTTTCTTTTTTTTCCAAAAACATTTGTCCATTTTATTTTATGTGCATATGTGTGTGCTTGAGGACACATATGTGCGTGCAGGGCCCACAGGTCAGAAGACATCAGAGTTCCTGGATCTGGGGTTAAAAATGGTTGTGAGCTGCCATGTGGGTGCTGGGATCCACACTTCAGTCCTCTACAGAGCCAGGGCTCTGAATTTCAGTCATTGCTTCACCCCTTCCTTTTAAAAAATAAAATCTTGCTATGTAGTCCACCCTGACCTGGAATTCGCTACAGACCGCACATTGGCTTTGATCTTTGAAATGGAGACATTCCTGCCTCAGCATTCCTAGAACTGTCTTAGTCAGGGCTTCTGTTCCTACACAAAACATCAGGACCAAGAAGCAAGCTGGGGAGGAAAGGGTTTATTCAGCTTACACTTCCACATTGCAGTTCATCACCAAAGGAAGTCAGGACTGGAACTCAAGCAGGGCAGGAAGCAGGAGCTGATGCAGAGGCCATGGAGGGATGTTACTTACTGGCTTGCTTCCCCTGGCTTGCTCAGCTTGCTTTCTTATAGAACCCAAGACCACCAGTCCAGGGATGGCACCACCCACAATGGGCCCTCCCACCCTTGATCACTAATTGAGAAAATGCCTTACAGCTGGATCTCATGGAGGCATTTCCTCAAGGGAGGGTCCTTTCTCTGTGATAACTCCAGCTTGTGTCAAGTTGACACACAAAACCAGCCAGTACAGGCATGTACCACCAAATCCAGCCATGACATTGGATTTGGCAATGACTTCTTAGCTATGATACCAAGAGAATAGGCAGCTAAATAAAAATAGATGAAGTGGGTTTCAAAAAAATGAAAGATGGATGTGCACCAAAGACCAGTATCAGCCGTGTCAAAGAGCCAATAGAGAAGAAGAGAACTTTTGGGGCACATATGTCTAACGAGGAATTAATATCCAAATGACACAATAAAAACAAATGAACAAAAAACACAAAATGAATTCGGTACGGAGTATTCATTTTAAAGATAAATTCAAAACCATTACATTTTCATTCAAGGACTAAATATTGGCAGAAGCTGAGGCAGAAGGACTGAAAGTTTAAAGTCAGGTTTGTTGTTGTTGTTTTGTTTTTTTGTTTTTTAAAAAAACAAAAGGCTGAGGGGCTGGAAAGATGGCTCAGAGAGATGGCTCTAATTCCTGCCCCAGAGGCTCTGATGCCCTCTTCCGGCCTCCTGCGAACACTGCATGCACATGGTGCACAGACATATATGCAGGCAAAACACCCATACACACAAAATAGAAAGAGAGAGAGAGAGAGAGAGAGGATGAATGTGTACATAGCCTGTCTTGAATACACAAGGGGTTTGGGTACCAGTAAAAAAGGAAAGAAAGGAGGGAGGGAAGAAAAGGAAATAGTTTTTGGTGTCTACTATGTCCTAAACAATAGGGAAAAAAGAAAAAGAAGAAAACAAATAACCCACTGGTAACCATGTGGTAACCATGTGGTAGCACAGATCTGTATTCTGATCTCATGGGAGGCTGAGGCAGGGGACAGAAGCCAAGGCCTTGCACTTACCAGGCAAGCGACCTACTACTGAGCTAACATCTCCAACCTGTAAAAAGACAGTCTTGAGTTCAGAGCCAGCATGGGTAATGTGAGACCCTTTCTAAAAACTGGAGGGGGAGGGGAGAGGAGAAGGGGAAAGAAAGAATACATAAAGACAGGAAGGAGGGGAGGAAGGCATACAGAAAGAAAAGAGCTAAAGTTAACGCAATCCCTGCAATTTACACAGGAAAACACTCACAACGGGGCTGGGGGATGTCGAGTGGCTCAGTGGGTAGAGGTGCCTGTTGCCTGCCAAGCCTTACAACGTAAATTCAACGTCCAGGTTTCACACAGTAAAGGGAGAGAACCTACCCCAAGGGCTGTCCCTGACCTCCATGTATGCTGTGGCATGTGCACCATGGAACACATCCCCAAATATACACACACACATTAATTAATTAATGTGATAAAGAAAAGTTCTGAATTATAATTCAAACGAACCCATTCAGGGCTGCAGTGTGGCAGTTGATCTAGCACTTCAAATACCTGGATTTGAAATCTAGAAAAAAAAGAGAGAGAGAGAGAGAAAGTGAGTGAGTGAGTGAGTGAGAGTGAGAGAGAGAGAGAGAGAGAGAGAGAGAGAGAGAGAGAGAGATCTGAGTAATACATCTACCTACAGGATGAGTCCTTCAAAGAAAAAGAACAGATTGTTAATGAACAACTTAAGTCTGTAGGTTGTAAAAACTAATGTTATTATAAATGTATGCAGTAAATTAATATAGCAGCTGTTTTTCTTTATCCTAGCTAGTTCCCCAGTCATGACAGAAAGTCCAAGATTGATTTGCAATTTAAAAGCACAATAACTAGTCATTATACGAGCACTGGCTGCTCTTCCAGAAGATCCCTGTTCAATTCCCAGCACCCATATGGCAGCTCATAACTGTCTGTAATTGTCTGTTCCCGGGGATCTGACTCCCTCACACACGCAGGTAAAACACCAACATACATAAAATAGAAATAAGTACATTTTGCAAAGGAGGGGAGCTCATGATAATTCTTAACTGTAGTTCCAGGTGACCTGTTACCTGTTTCTGGTTTCCAGGCACATATAACATGCTGGTAAAATATGTCTATATAATAAAATAAAAATAAAAAAAAAAATAAAATGTGCTGTGGCATGTAAAGAACAGGCTGGTGGGGTCTGGGAACAGTGTCATCGGTGTGTAACGCTCCTGTCTTGCCCAGGTTGCAG